TGTAAGTTACAGGAAATGTATAAATTAGAATATAAAATATTCCCTAAATGTTTTAGTACTATTTATATTAAATTGAACAATTTTTTTTTTTCTAGAAATGAAGAAAAACTGACGGAAGAACAAAAGCGAGTCCAGAAACTGGAAGCTTTACTCCAAGACCACGAATCGGACCTGGAGCAACTAAAGGTCAAGAAGCAGGAGCTACTCACAATTAACAAGGAGATGAGTGAACTAATTGTGCAGCTGCAGAATGATATATGCCTGGCCGAAGCTAAGGTGAGTACAAGTACAAAAAAACAAAAAATCTACATGCCCCGGGTGAGGCTCGAACTCACGACCTTAAGATTATGAGACTTACGCGCTGCCAACTGCGCCACCGAGGCTTTGAATGTCTGACGATTCTAAGCAGTCGAGATAAATTTCGGTATCAGATGCATCATAAACTATAATGTTAAAGGATCTGATGATATTTCCTTATTTGGCAGGCCCAGGGACTTGATGCTGAGAACAAGTTACTGAAGCAGGAAAAGCTAACCTACGGCACCAAGTACAATCAACTGGAGCAGCAACTAAGTTTGGAAGCATCGGAGAAAAGCGAGGAGCGATTGCTGCTGGCCAAGCATTTGTCCGAAAAGACGAAGATGTACGAACTGACCAAGCAGAAGCTGGAGGATGTTCAGGGTGACTTTGAGGCTACCCAGCACAAACATGCCACTGTGCTGAAAGAGCTCCACCGCGAGCTAAACAAGTACAAAAGAGGAATTACGGAACCGAAGACTCCAATCAGCTACTGCAGCAACTGTCAGCAGGCAATCAATGGGTATCCAACGGAGAATCCTCAACAACGGAGTCATAGTCGCTCCAGTAGCCACGGCAGCATGCAAAGCGGCAGTCGACGGGCCAGCGAGTCGTCTGAATCCGAAACGGTGGCCAGTAGTGCCACCACCGTGCAACAGCCACCACCGCAGCAAGATCTCCAGGCGGTACCGTCCAAAAAAGTCCTCGTGGAGCGAATACTGCGGCTGCAGCAGGCCACAGCCCGCCAAACCGAACGTATTGAGTTTCTGGAGAACCACACAGCTGCCCTGGTGGCCGAGGTGCAGAAGAAATCCAAGGTGGTGCAACACTACATGCTCAGGGATCAGACTGCTGGCGCATTAACCACGTCGCGCAGCGATCAGAACAAAAGCGAGTTGGTCAAGTATGGAAATGGGATCATGGCAGCCATCTATGGAGGATCCTCTAAGACGGGAGGCGAGAGTAAGGCCATGTCTCTCGAACTTTCTCTAGAGATAAACAAGAAACTGCAAGCTGTACTCGAGGATACTCTCCTGAAAAATATCACGCTGAAAGAGAACCTTGATGTGTTGGGACTGGAAGTAGACAATCTCACGAGGAAATTGCGCTCCCTGGAGGGCAGTTGCAAGTAAATGCCAGTATTCTTATTCCATTGTATTCCACTCCATAGTCTAACCCGCGTGTAGATAGTGTACAAATCTAATGTTCGTATGTTTAAGTGTATAATAGATGTATTTAATATTTCAACAATGTCCCAGGCTTATAATAATCCTTCGTAAAGCTTGGCGGCTACGGCTTTCGGCTGCCCCACACCAAGGGCGAATTTAACGGTTGGGTTTTCACCATCCTTTGCTAATCTGGCTATTTTGTTGTCGGTAACTTTGAAGTAGACCCTCATCTGGGGATTGGGGTTGCCCGTTTCCTCCGATACCAGTTCGCGGAGCAGAGGCGGAAGGTCAATCTTGGTGGGCAGGACCACTGGTTCAACCTTCTTGTTGTTGCTCAGGTATTTTGCTTCCTGATCCTGTGGCACCAATTCATAGTCCGCCTTATAGCTGGTGCTGTAGATCTCCACTGGCTTTGGCTGGGTTACGCCGCGCCACGTTTTCTCCACTGTAACTCGCACCTTGCGGATCTCGCCGGGCTGCTCGTCCACGGATTGCACCTTCAAAATCCGCATGTAGCAGGGCTCCGGATATCGCTGGAACATGTTACGTATGAGCAGGCGGCCCACTCCCCAGTTGGGCAGGTCCGAGACCAGCTCCCACAGCGTGTTGCCACGAAAGTCTGTGGTGCGACCGATGTACTTGATCACCTTTTGTGCCATTTTTCTGAGTTTTTCACTATTTTTTAAATAATTATTGTTGCAAGTTATAAAAACAGTGAGTTTGCCAATCACCGGGAAGGTCGAACAGCTGTGCCGGCTGCCTTAACAGGGCTGTATAATATTAACAGAGGGCAGCTGTAAAATGTAATTTTTGTGTGCTGGCAATGCTGTGCGGCGAATTTTATAGCAGTTAAACTATAATAAATAATTCATTAACTTCCTTAAAATTAAAAAAGGCGTACAATTCAGTATAACGAATAATCGTCTTAAAATGTTTTAATCTTGTTCTTGTCTCCTAGAACCAGGAGTCTTGTGTAGTATAAGAGTTTTAAAACAATTTTATTTCAGTGATTTTATGATATGTAATTTTAGGAATAATTAATCTCTTGATCCATTTTAAAGTGCTGATTCACAGCCGCATGAGTCTGACTTTACCTATATTTACATAAATATTACTTTCATCTAAGTATATTTTATAAAATCTAGAGATAGGTAATCCCGTACTAATAGGGAGCTCGAACGTGTTCGACTAGCTCCTCTCCTCCGCCAGTGTGACCCACTTCTCCGCCACTGGTGTCCAGGTGCTCATCGTAGGACTCCTCCTCCCCACCCAACTCCTGACCGTCGTGCCCGTGGGCCGAGGGATTTGTGCTCTCGTGCAATCCGATCGTGGCATGCTGGGCAGCCTTGGATGCATTTACCTGAGCCGCAGCTGCAGAATTGGCCGCTTTCAGGGCGGACTCCTTGGTGGCCGCATAGTCAACACGCGCCTGGTGCAACTGCTCTTCCACCTGCTCTAATCGGTTCTTGGACTGACCTACCATCTGGGATTGGGAGGCCAGTTGATTGTTCACCTCCGTGGAGGTTTGTTCAGCCTGTTCAGCCACGGACTTGGCATTATTTACGGCTGCTGTGAGCACGGATATGTGATGATGCGCCGCTTGGGCCGTTTGCTGTGCCAATCTGGCGGAGATTTTGGCCGCCTTGAGTTGCTCTAGCTCGCGGGATAGAGATCTCTGGGCCTCGGCTGCCTGCTGCTCCAACTCCTGGAGAACAACTTGCTTTCCCACCAAAGCTGCCTGCGCCGTGGCCGCCGCCTGGGAAGCTGCTTGGGCCAGGGTATTCTGGGCTATATAGGCCGCCTGCTTGGCAGCTGCATGCTGGTTGGTCACTGCACTGTGGGCCTGATCCGCCGATCCCTGGGCAATGGAACGTAGGCCGCTGCCGATGCTGTAACCACCGGATCCCTTGCTGGAAACTGAGGATCCAACTCCGGATGAAGTGTAGTAGCTTTTGGGGCTATGTTGTGGCTTCTCTGGCTCGGGAGACTGCACTGCCGGGAGATGGGGCTCAAAGTATCCACCTTGGTGGATTGGTGGCGGCTGCTGAGGTCGGTAGTGATAGCCATTTCGCTTGTGCAGACGTCCCAAGGCATCAGACAAAAGGAGCACTATAAGGATTTGAATATAATATAACATTCAGGGCAAATATCCTGGTAACAGTTTTTTTTATCTGTATCTTTATAATATTTCGGGTATAAGAATATTCACTATGTTTTCCACAAAGTCTAAAATTATTTATAAATCATAACTCCTTGAATGCATATAATTGGCATTTTTATATTTTTAACAGATCACTATTACTTTTCACTTCCTTATAAAAGGGTATTCCCCGGCTTACCCAAGACAAGCTTGGCTAGTAGAAAACGTAATCCTTGGCCGTACATCTCGCTAGCGCTGCTGGAACTGCATTGAACTTCAAATTGAATGGAAGTGTACAATTTATAAGCCTTTCAGAGCCGGCAGCCGAGCATAAAGTTTTTCAAGTTGCGGAAAGTCGGTTGCGGTTTTTAAATTTAACTGATCGCGGGCATGTTATGATTTTCAAACTCGAAGCTATTTGAATAGCTCTGCCCACTATTTGAAGAGTTGGGTCCACACACATTGCACCTTTACACCCATTTCCATCCATTCCATCCCATCGAGGAAGCTCAAAGCGACCACTTTTGGGCCAAAAATTCGGTGGCGTTTTTTAATGGTTCGTTGGCACGCTTGTTTGGACCAAACGGACAGTGCAAAGTGGTCGGGCTGCTCGGGCTTATTAATGTTTTAAATTTAATTTGCATTTTATGTGCTGCACTACTTTGTGAGTGAACTTTAAGTGGCGCTCTTGGCCGGCTCCTCGGTGCAACGATGCAGGGAAAGCCATTTCAGGGATTACGCTTTCGTTCAGATTAACTAGCCCACGAAATTTGGCAATTTACGAACGGGGGAATTTTTCAATCAAAATTTAAACATTATTATACTCGTTACTTGCAGAGTAAAAGGGTATACTAGATTAGTTAAAAAATTATGTAACAGGCAGAAGGAAGCGTTTCCGACCATATAAAGTACAAATATTTTTGATTAGGATCAATAGCCGAGTCGAATTGGCCCTGTCCGTATGAACGCCTCTATCTCAGGAACTACAAAAGCTACAAAAAGAACTACAAAAATAATGTTGAGATTAAGGATGCAGCTTCTAGAGATATAGACGCAGCACATGTTTTCCGAATGTTGCCACGCGCAAAACCGCACAAAACTGTCACGCCCACACGTTTAAAAAAAGTGTTGATATTTTTTAATTTTTTTGTATATCTTGTAAATTTCTATAAGTCTGCCAAAAAATTTTTTTCCGCGCCCACAAACTGTCCCAACTTTCCCAAAACTGTCAAGCCCATACTTTTGAGCAAATTGATTTTTTTTTTAATTTTCTAAAATTAAGAAAAATTTCTCGATCGCACTTCCTTTCGGAACTCGGGGAACTCGACAACAGCATTCTATCTTGTTTTTTATTGTCGTCATACAAATCACTCTACAGCTTAAAGTACTGTAAGGCATTTAAATTTCATGTCACAATATGTCCTCAACAAATTGAAAACTAACATTCGTGGCAAATTGGGGTTTTCCATAAAATATCCAATGAATGGCCAGTAAATAATCACCCGTGGGCAGGGGAAGTCGCATAGCATCTGTGGTCAAGTACATGTTCTTTACGAGAAGATCACCCTTTAAAATATATAAATATTACAAGTGAAGGATATAAGCTTTGGAACGACAGACTCACTTGCAACGGGCATGTGTGGTTGACATTAGTGAAGTTCTTATAAATATTAAACATAAATATTCCAAGGGCATCATAGGGCTTTCGAAGAAACCGACATCCATCGATCTTTGAATTTATAAGCCAGGGCTTATAGCCATTCGCCCTTTGAAACATTTGGTAGTGAACATTGATATTACTAGTTGGATGGAGGAGGGTGGCATTGAAATTGAACACGGTCCTATGGCGATTGATCGCCTTCAATCGGCATTGATTTATGATAACCCAGGTTTTATTATAGCTGCCACAAATGACATTTGTCAGTTTGAAGACGACTGGACCCTGTATAATAACTCAATGTATTTTATAAACTCAAAATATTTAACTAAACCTACACTGGGTTTTAAGATGATTAAGCACAGAATGGTTAAAATAACGACAATTTTCAGGCCCGACCTCATGATGGAATAACTTTTAAAATACTGCAAAGCTTCAAATGTTTTGCTAGCCATGCTAGAACCTTGATATATTTTTAATTTCATTTTCAATCGCTTTTTATTTAGACCTCTTTTATTGTAATTGTTTTTTAATACTTGTAAAAATGATTTTAAAGCTGATTTTTGAAATTATCTAATGGGTTATTGATTACGATGATGTAAGCTGTTTTTAAAGAGTAAACGGGTATATTGGATGCGTTGGAAAGCGTGTATGTTATGACGTTATGAAGTTTAGAACTTCAGCCTTAGGAAATTTCTTCATTTTCTTGAATTTCTACAACATCATAACATCAGAAAAATTAAAAAAAGATTTTAAAACAATAAATTTCTAAATTTGAATGCAGATTTTTAGATAATTGCGTCAGAAACATTTAGAAACATCCCACTTCAAAATCCGATTAAGATAAGTTGAGTTATGGAGTTTAGAACATCAGCCTTGGAACATTTATTAATTTTTTTGAATTTCTACATCATAACGGGTGGCAAAACTATTTTTGGCAAATATTGAATATTAATATTTTCACCACCCGAGACCAAAATGAATTACGCATGTTTTATATAAATTATTTTTTATTTAAATACATAATTATTTATTACAAATACATAAATAAATAAGTTATGACAATCACTATTTTACAAGACAAAATCTGAACTCGATGGTACAAGATACGCTTTACAATTAATATCAACAAGTGGTGACGCGACGGTTGTGCGTCTTCAATTGAGCAACAACTGTGGGTAATGAGTGGGTCAACAAGTGAAGTGAAGTGAAGGGGCGACTGTGGGCGCATAATATACATAACAAAATATAACAGGTATTCAAGGAGACATCCGTAATAACTAAGAGTGACGACTCTGGTAAATACGATGACGAATGCCACAATTGAAACGATTCGGGAGTTGCAAAAGTGTTGAAAGATTGCTTCGGTCAGAAGTGGAAAACGAACTTATCGGAGGAGGTGTCGTTCGGAATGGATGCAGGGAAATTCGCATGGTAGCCAGTCACCTCCTCCTCCTCAGCCTGTTGCTCCGTTAATCATTGATAGCTCTGGGTGATTTGCTGGATCCAGGGCAGGTAGGCGGAGACCTTGACGTAGACTCCAGGAACGTTCACCTGGCCGCATCCAATGCCCCAGGACACCACTCCGACCACGTGCATGGCTCCATTTCTGTCGCACACCAATGGACCACCGCCATCGCCCTTGCAAGCGTCCTTGCCCTCCTCTCCGCCGGCGCACACAAATCCGGGATTCAGCTTGTAGCTATATCCCAGACGGGTGTTCCTCAACTGGGCCTCGCACTGCTGGTGCGATAGGATTGGCACATCCACCTCCTTCAGGATGTTCTGGTACTTGCCGTGCTCGCCGAAGGCGTCCTTGCCCCATCCAGTTGTCCAGCAACGAGCTCCAGTGAAATCGGAGTACTTGTCGGGCAGACAGGCTGGACTAATGTGGGGATTCTTGGTGAAGTCAATGGGTTGGTCCAGTTTCAGAACGGCAAGATCATTGTCCAAAGTGCCGGCATAGTACTCAGGATGGATGTGCACGGAAACCACATCGCGCTCAATGTAGGGGAAGAACTCCACATCGTGGTTGACATCCCATTCGCCCAGGCGCACACGAAGATCGAAGCCATTTTGACTGGATATAAAAAGGCAAGTGGTTAATCCTCTGGTGAAAGATACTTTTATGACTCTCCAACTTACGATTTAATGCAATGGGCAGCGGAGATAATGTGCTGGGCATCGATGAGGGTTCCACCGCAGGCGTAGATCGACTCCTTGGGGTCCTTCTTCAGAATGGCCACATGCCAGGGATACTCGCCGAACTCACTGTCTCCGTCGACGTAGACGGGGTTCTTGATGCGACCGGTGATTCCAGCGGCGTTCCTTACTCCACAACGACCAAATTGCTGGGGAGGAGCTTGGGGACGCAGAGGACGACGGCAGCAGACCTCGTTAATACGGCAGGTCTTCTCCACGGGTCGGTTTCCATAATAAGCACGCTGGAAAATATCAAGGTAGGCGATCGCAATTAGATAAATCGTGGAGGAATGTTATCTTATCCTATCTGGATTTGAAATTTAGTTTGTTGTAAGATATGTAAACATAAACATATGTAAAATATATAAAACTTCGATAATTTGTTCGATAATTTCGGACTGAGATTCTCATGCAAATTCTGAATTTTGTAGCTATTAACTTTTATAATCTATTGACTCTATTGAACGAACTTAAATGCTTTATCCACACATGGTTACCTGCTCCTCAGGAGCTGCTCCCGCCCACACACCATCCTCAACGCTCCTGCGCCTGCGATCCCGGGGAAAAGTGATCCGATCACTGCCAGCGGCCTCACCAGGAGCCGGAGTGGGAATGTTGTAGAGGGGTCCCAGGTTCAACTGTTTGCCACGACGACCGGAATTCGATGACACGTCCGTACTACCACCGCTCACATTGGCACTTCGTTCCACATGCTGTGAGTACTCGCCGAAGCCCCCGAAATCGGGACTGGATCCGGGATATACCGAGGTGAAAGAGCTCTCATAGGGAGACGACTCGTGGTGGTGATGATACTGAACCGAAGGCGCAGAAGGGCCACTGTGATACTCAAAGATGGGAGTGCTTGGGACCATTTCCACACTGAAATGGGGACCCGGTCCAGATCCACCATAGAAATGGGAATACGAGTGTTCGTCGTGGTGGTCGTGGTGTCCATGGTGATCATAATCGTGATGCTCATAGCCACTATAGTGATCGTGGTGGTGGTAATGGGTGCTATAGGCTTCGGTGGGCTTTCGCTTAAAGAAGTCCCCCACTTTCTGAATAAGATTCGCATTTGGGGTGACATGCAGATTGACCAGTGGCTTCACCACCTTCTCGCCATATTCTGTTTTGGCCACTTGCACCGATACGAGAGGATTCACATTCACCAGACCGAGATTCAGGCCATTTGGCCCCACCGAACCAAAGTACGGGTTTTGAGCGGGTACATGATCACCCAGTATATTCGAGGGATAACCTCCATAGCCGCCACTGGGATAGGGCAGCCCAAAGCTGACACCGTAGGTGGGCAGCACTTTGCGTTGGATTAGTTCAATGGCCTGGAGAGCGGGCAATGCCAATGGAGATCCTCCGAGCGGGGATTGTCTCTATTTGTTGGTAAGGGGAAAATATAAGAACGCTAGAGGTGGAGTTCCATTTCTGGTTGCCGGATGCAGGCTTCATGTTTCGGGTTGCAGGCGTGCGATCACAAAGGTCGTGCTTGGTTAGCTGGTTTAGTTCTGGGATTAGTGACTGGTCTAATCGGAACCGATTTGCACTCTGGTATTTTAGTTGAGCTTGGAGCGTTGAACGATGGGTGCAGTTGTCAAATTGGTTTTATTTGTTGATTGACTGATTGATTTGTTGTTTGATTGGTTGATTGGTTGATTGGATGTGTGTGTGGGAGGGAGGAGCTTGGCTAGAACTCGATTAGTGGTCCATGTGAACCATGTGTGATTTGGCATTAGTCGGGCACTACTTAAACTAAGAATACGGTCCTCCAGAGAGGCTTCTGTTGACTTACCCCTTGAGCATCGAGTGAGAGATCGCTTGCTTCGTCGTCCTTCTGATCAGCCTGTCGACGGGTGCGCTTCTTGTCATCCTCGACCGCCTTCTTCTCGGCCTTGTTACCCTCAGCAGCAGTGGTAGCATTGCTGGGCAGAGCATCGTCACTCAGAGCCTCAATGTCCTTGCCCAGGTTGCGGGGATCAATGGGCAGAATGAGATCCTCCTTGCGGCCAATGCGGTCGGCTGCGGGGCACTGGGAGATGGGCACACACTGGCAGTCCACGATCTGCTGGCGAGAGGTGTCGTAGCCACTCTGGTACTGTCCCTGTCCCTGGTAGCCACTGGAGATGGCATTGAACTGGTTGGATGCTCCACCTTGTAGCTCCTTCTTGTAGTAATCGGGGTTCTGGCTGTGGTAGCTGGAGCTGGGCGATCCACTGAATCCTCCAGAGGCGCTGCTGCCAAAGTTTCCTAGTCCTGAGTTTGGTTTGTAGAGATCTCCAGAGTTTGGCTTGTATAGATCTCCAGTGGGTTTCTGGGAGATTCCAAAACCGTTCTGCGAAAGAAGTCCACCCTGAGAAGCACCATTAAAGCCAGCATTGAAGGCATTGGACTGGGAGTAGCTGGATCCGGATGAAGTCTGAATGGAGGGAGTGTATGTGGCAGAGGATTGGGCCAGGGCACTGAAGTCGGTGTTAATGGTCTGGCCAGCTCCAATGGGAATTGGCACACTGGGAACCTTCGCTCCCTCGCCCCCTTCCACATGATGGTAATGATGGTGCACATGTTGCTGCAGTCCATCGAGCGGTGCTCCAACCACCACTTTGGTACTGGAGGATGTGGCCGAGGAGGAGGAAGCCGAAGACTGCTGCGAGTAGAAACCATTGGGAGCAGAGCTGGCGCCCTGGATGCCACCCTCGGGATTCTCGTAGTTGTATGGAGGAACTCCATTCGAAGCACCATTGAAAACGGGTCCAGCACCCAGAGAAGGACCTCCGGTGTAGATGGGTCCTGGTGGCTTGCTGTCGTAGATCAGGGCTCCCGGTGGTGGCTTCGTGTAGGTAATACCGTCGGATGAGCCGTCAATGGCAGATGGTGGAGGATGTTCCAGGTAGCCACCGGGTCCAGCTGGCCTGTATGGTCCAGACATTGGCTTGTAGGGTCCCTCGTATCCCACCTTCCTGGGAGGCCCAAAGGAGTTCACGGAGCTGGGCGCAGGACCAAAGGAGTTCAGGGAGCTTGGTGGGGGTCCGTAGGATCCAGGAGGTCCACCCATTGGCGGGCGACCACTGAAGTAGCTTGGTGGGGGCATGGGCTTAGCTGGACCATAGGGACCACCGCTGAAACCGGATGGTGGTGGGGGACCCTGGGCGTAGATGGTCGAGTAGAAGGGACGCTTCTCCTCCACATCGCAGCTCATTAGTCCCAATCCG